TGCTGGATGCAGTTTGGACCGGCAAAGGTATTGTACTCTGATGGAGAGGGCGCTTCAAACAACGACACTGCGAAAGCAGTCCTCAAGGCAAAAGGCACTGAACTTAGGACACGTGCGCGTGGACAGCACGCTACAACGATCGAGGCCAGAAATGACATCCTACGTCATTTACTTCACGTCATGGAGGCTGAATTCAATAGGTTAGATATACCTCCTGTGTACACCCGACTACTGCACGAAGCCCTGTTCGCCGCCAACGCGTTCACTTTCCATAGCGAGGTGTCTCCATACAACGCTCTAGTTGGACCGCAACCAGCAATGCTCCCTGACTTACCTGTCTTGGACCAAGAATAGCCGACGGAAGCATCGGACCACTCTCGTGAACAGACGATACGCAGGGCATGTATTGAAGCTATCACACAGGCCACAGCAGTAGCTAAGACCAATCGTGCCTTACGCACTAAGACGACTATTACCGGTCAGAACTATTATGATGAAGAAGTATTGGTCGATTACCATCGCCCCACGACCGCGAAGGATGACTGGGGAGGCTGGAATGGTCCGTTCCCAGATGTGAAGAATGATCCCGAAAGGGGTCAGGTCATCATCCGAGTGGGCAATCGAGATGTTCAAGTACAACTCGGCGATGCAAGGCATTCATTGAAGCACTCATAGCCCGAGAGATTGGCTCCGACAACACTGCACTACGCACAGTGTTAACATTAGTAGCCAGCCTATCAGCGGGGAGACCTGCTTTGACCTTTGGCTGTGTGCCGACCAAAAAAGGAGCTCTTCAGATGACGACCGCAGGCCGTCTATCTCCTGAGGTACACTTGGCTCTACAGCATCTGATCAGAAACTTCTTTAGCATTGACAATGTAGTTTCAGTCAGATTAGCCAAGAGTATCCATAAGCTACCTCCGGTTACTTATGCCGTCAGCTGCACATTTGTCCATTACGACAACGACGTGAGTCCAGGCTTTCATTGTTACGAAACAGAAGGTAGTGTTGTGAATATACACGATATAATTGGATCAGCACATTCACGAATCTTCCAATGCCTGCAGTCCATTAAACTTCAAGCAGGTTTTGATCAGGACATGTCAGAATTCTAGGACTTCGCAGATACACCGACACCGGATGGAGCTGCAAGAGAAGCTTCAGAAGCCGAACCATCACATGATGACGGACGGCTTTCTACGATTTACGCAGGATCATAGGTTGATCTTGAGTCGCATGTTATGGAGGTGCGGCATGCAGAACTACAAGAGGAAAGGGAACTGTTGGAGGCAACTCCACCAGAGGGCCTCTTCGCCATACCTACACGGATGGTTCCAGATCAAAATGCGCCGATCACTGTAGCTGATGAACAGCGGGGACACCTGCCGAAGTGGGGACGCACTCACGACTCCGATACCGAGGAGACGTATTACGCCCCCATGCGCACCATGGTCGAAGACGACAGCTACGGACTCGGCACAGACGAAAATGGTCGATCGGCCGAATTATGTTTTACGGCAGAAATGTCGAAGGTAGTCTTGTCCGAGCAACAACGCCTGATATTGGATGCCGAGCAGGTGGCCACTATGCGAGTATGCGCCACCGCCGCTGCAAAGCGAGCTGCGGTCGTCAAGGAAGACGACCTCTTCAATAAAGCTGACATTCAGGCGAGTCCCGATAAAGTATCGAAGGCCCTCTACACTGAACTTAAGGCATGGCTCGACAACAAAAGCTTTAATGTGCAGGAGATAGCCAAAGCGTCGAACATCATGATTTCGAGATATATGCACACATGGAAGTTCGTGAAATACGAGAAGGGCGATATGGAGCGCACCATCCGACTACAGTTGTTTCTCCGAGGATTCATGGACCTTGACGCTTTCGACGTAGAAATATTTTCGGGGACAGCGAGACGGTCAAGCCAGAGGTTACTCGCTAGCACGGCAGCACGCAAGAAGCAGTGGATCATTGCTTCCCTCGACATCAGCATGGCCTTCCTGAAGGGATTGACCTATCAGGAACTTGCTGAGGCTACTGGTGACAAGGAACGTGTGGCGTGTTTTACTCTGCCGCCTGGATCGGCCACGGCGCTCCGACCTCTCCCAGGATTCGAGCACTACGACGATTCAAAACACTGCCTGCTGTGCTTGAAACCAGGCACAGGCACTAAAAACGCTCCACGGGCTTTCTCACTTAAGCTCAGGAGGACCACCAGAGGATTTGGTCTCCGGCCCACGTCCTACGACGAGGGGTTCGAGACGAGCAGCAACTTGCTCACGGCCAGGCATGTCGATGACATCCATATGGCCGGTACTGCGGACACCCTTGACAAGTATGTCAAATGCGTTGAAGATACCTTTGGTAAGTGCAAATTCAACAAGCACACATATACCAACTGCGTTGTGAGATACAACACCAAGGACGAGGACGGCAATGCCACTTTGGATCAATATGAATATATCAAACAGCTCCGTCCTATACAACATCCCGAACTAGCTGGCGCCGACGCTGGCGACGCTCGGGCAACCAAGATGGCGGCAGACATGTTCGTCAGCCTCAGGGGTGCGCTGGCATATGCACTAATCACCCAGGTGCGTTTGATGGTGTATGTTGCATCTCTACAGCGCGTCCGAGAACCGACCAACATTCAAGTACGACGACTGAACGCGATCACCAGAAAGCAACAGGCCTGCCCGAAGAAGATCGTCTACCAGGCGACGAACCCCACGGGCGAGGTCGACCTACATAGCGACTCAGGATATCGACGCCTGAGTGGAGACGCCGATGACGACGTCAAGGGCTATGGTATTCGCGGGGCAAACCTGCTACGACGTGGAAACACGTCATCCCGTAAGCCTGTCGTTCACTTGATGGATGCGCACTGCAAGTCTCGCCGCTTGCAGGTCCGCTCGAGCTATTCAGCAGAGACACTAGCAGCAGCCCATTGTTTGGAGGACTGTTATCCCACGATTGCGACTCTGCACGAGCTCCACGCGGGGCCGCTCGCGCCCACTCAGTTGAAAGATATACTTGAGTTGGGTGGCCTGAGCATTAAGGTCACTTTGACAATCGATGCTGAGTCTGTGTCTAAGTCCTTGTCAAGCGAAGACTTGAAGAAGCCGACTGCGTGTACCCTCTTAGGACACATCAGTTGGATACGATAGATGATGGAGCGCGGAATCGCGCACAGCATTCAGTGGCGTGACACCCGCGACATGACTGCGGATGGCCACACCAAGGGGGGCATCGACAGAGAAATGCTCCTACAAGTCATGTGAGGTATACAGACCTTCAAACATGACCTGAAGAGACATGCTCCACATCGGGCCGGTCAGACATCAAGTTCTGACGCCGCCTGATGAATACGTCACATACATGCGAGGCAACTTGCTAGCGGGTCCACCTTCCATTAGGCCCGCTTCCTTTTCTGTTTTTGTGTCTGTTAGCTGCTATGCCTGCTGCATAGGGGCGACGGGCCCACGCTTCGCCCCCCTCCCCCCCCCCCGACTTTAAACCGAGCTGAGGGACGTAAGGAGTGGAAGCGAGCGTGCGCCCGCGGCCGCGTCGGCTCAAGCGGCCGGCCGCCCAAATATGATTGTGCCTCCCCGCGAGGCACTCAATCGCGATCCAGACCAAAAGGATATTCCTATTGTTTGAGATGGCATCACCTCTCATACTGGGACTATCGCTGCTACGGTGCAACAGAGTTGGAGTTTGGCTTCGCCTGAGGCGAAGCTGTTGGCTGGGTTTTCCAGCCCCCTTCAAACTGGGGGGTGCGGGAAAGCCCAGACCCTGGACCATATATGGGCATGCGTTGTCTGGCGTTCCTTGTGCTTGATTTCCAGAGTGTGAGCTACGCTGGGAGGCCGAGTTCGAGTGGATCTTGTTGCAAGCGAGTTTGAATACGGTTAGGCCATGAGGCCCATGACACACAAAACGTCGGCTCCACCTTGGATGACCACAGCTGTGCACCGCAGCCCACCTAACTCCTGAAACGAGCCGGCTCCGTTGAGGTTGCGTGCGGCCCCGTTTCGCTTCCCTTTGGTGAGCGGCACGACGTGGCAATCTGGGCGGCGTGGGGGTGCGCGAGAGCAGATTTGGAGTTTCCAGGAGCGTTATCATCGCCTCGGCTGCATTCACCCCGGAAAGAAGATGCCAGGACGGGTCATGGGCCCAATGTACGATTCTTTAACCAGGGATCAGCGTTTTCAAACGGGTCTTGTGCGTCTTTCACCGCTTTGGGGCCCCAGGGGCCCTACACGGGCCAGAGGACTGTCCCGAGATCTGGTCCTGGGGAAAGCCCCAGGGTCTAGGATCTAGGACACGTGTCCCTCATGAACCCTTTTCTTATGGCGGTGAGTGGTGGTGGTCAGGAGATGGAGGGCCCGACACGCCCTCCCGACCCAGCGAGTCCGATTGTCGATCTCTCTCGCGTGGGCCGACGTATCAGGATCCACCTCGGCAGCAAGGGTGACAGGTGGAGAAGAAGGCAAGGCGTTCAGGATTACGATGCGGAGAGGGTGATTCTACAGCGGAGGCAGGGGTTGCGCAAAGGTGGTGGCGATGGCCCGCTGCGTTCCTCCTGTGATCCTCTATCGGAGGAGGAGTCTTAGTTCTGGCGTTCCAGAATTCACGTTTGAGACACTGGACTGAATGTCGTCAACCTTGCCAGGACACATTCGGGAGACGTTCCTCGCGCGGGCATTCGCCTCAGCTTGTTCGCTTCTCCTCCCAATTTGGCGCTGAACGAAAACCGATGAAGGGATGCGGGGAGGCAGGCGGGTTTGGCGGTTGAACATCGCAAAGGAGGGGCGGCACACCAACGGGTCTCGCGCATCAAACGAATCGAACATGCCGAGGCACAGCGTGGCCTCCAAGGCACTGCTCTGACGTGCCCAAGGAGAGACCCTCAAAGAGAGTGTATGTAGAACGTTTCGGGCCGCAGGGCAGGAGTTGTCTTATCAGCCCCGTGCGCTTTCACCCTGCCCAAGAATTCCCAGGAGCCCGGCGACAGGATGCCGGCCTTCTTGTTCGGTTGGAATTCGTCGAAGATAATGACCCACATGGGTAAGGCTGGAAAGCCGAACGACTTCTGCCAGTCCAAGTATGGAATGCCACTGGGCAAGGTTCTTTTAAGGGGGCACCTGGTACAGTTCAACTTGTAGCCTGCTTCAACCACGAGCTCGTTTTTGTTCTTGACATGCCATGTATGACAAGTTGACGCCGTCACGTAGATCGCAGCATTGGTCTTTGCCATTCTCGTGGCTAATACATTAACGGAGAGGCGCTGAGCAGATTTGATATAGCAGAGTTGGCCGAGTAAGTAATACGAACTTCTGTGCCTTGACGTGTCTTCTCCGTGGTAGACCGCGCAAAAGAATTAGAGCCTCGCCGTCCCAGATCACACCGTCCATAACGCATCGGTTCAACATTTGCACCTATCATTGTTGCTGGTTGTGTCACCGTGCCCTTGCATTCCAGATTAGCCGTAGTTTCGAGCCTGGCGTGAGAAGAAGTCCGCAGAGTTGCAGCGTTCACATTCACCTGGAATCGACACGAATGGTTTCCATTCAGTGCGCCTCAAGGTGGTCTCAGGACTACATCCAGAACCAGCATACTGCCACGAAGTGGCTGTAGTTGAACTGATCCGGTTTTCTGCGGTGCCTTTTCCGCAGACAGCCACAAACCATACGCAAGGTCGACTTCGCCGGCCAGCCTCCCGAACCGCCGGCCCTCGCTCTCGAGCTCGTGCATTCTCAGGCTCACAGCGCGGGATGATGTCGCTCCGCGCGTCACGGTTTGGGCCGCGGAGTTGCCCGTCTCACGGCGGCGGCGCGAGGGCGCGAAGGGTAACGCGCGTCGCACCTCGTGGGGTGCAACGCGCGAAATTGGGTGACCCATGTACCCCAGAGCAGATATACTTTGGAGAGGGGGGCCTCATGGCCCACCTTGGGGCGCCCAAAGTCTTGGTCTAAGCTCGGGCTCTTGCCAGAACCGTGGCCCGTGCGACCCCTCACTGGGGGCACATTGCTTTGGGGAGACGTCTGAGCCCTCCCAGAGCCCGCCGAGTTGCCAGCGATTTCTCGGCTGCTGCAGCCCACTGTATTGCAACCCTCTTCGCGCACGCTTTGTCACCTCGCCACACCTCACCAGTGCCCGTCCAAGGTTCAGCACATCCTGGCCCGCTTGCAGGGGTCGGAGTACACAATGTACGTCAACGGCGAGGAGTCGTGCACGTTGAGAGGCTTCTCCGACGAGGCGAAGTACCCCGCCCAGAGAAATGTGCAGGCTCTGGTCCGAAAGTTGAACTCCTGCGCATGAACAAACGCTCAGAATGAATTCTAGTCTTCCCCGGACACTGTGCGAGCAGGGCGCCGCAATTCCCGCACGTGGTTCCCAACCATATTGTGGTGTTGTGTTCTCGTTTTGGATCAGCAGCGGCCCGCGTCTCCCACCTCTTCCTCCCCCTTCCATGCCTGCCCCAGCCGTCCGCATGACAATTTCGACACAGCCCAGTCACACGCCTCGTGGCCCCATGGGCAACTCACTGAAGGTCTCAATGGCAGCGCCCGCATGGCGGCCAGCCCCATTTTGGCAACCCCCTCAAACGTCTCGAGCCCACATAGGGAACTCCACCGAAGGCCACAATAGTAGCGCCCGCATGGCTGTCCCGCCCCACGTGGGCACATCCCTCGCACACTTCGTGGGCCAGTGGGGAACTCGAACGAAGGCGCAGTGGCGGCGCCCGCATGGCGGCCCCGACCCTCTTCTTTGCACACCCTTCACACGCTTCGTGGCCGCACAGGGAGCTATCCCTCCGTCCCGCCTGCCGTGCGATACCCAGGCCTGCATATGGTTGGGTCCTTCGCCAGGATAACTGTTCTCACGCTCTGTATTGCAGAAGCTTATATGTTATGTGATCCTCATTTGGAGCGCCATCGTTTTTCAAAATGGTGTTCCTGTTGCAACGGTGGGACAGTTTCGGGGTCGGTGTTTTGCTCCCGTCGTTCAGAATTGTGCTCTCTGCCCAGCGAGGGTCACACTTCTGAATCCGGTTCCATCCTCGTCGTTGTCGCACCCATCTTTTCCCCTCCTCCGCCTTCGCCCGGTCATCCTTCTCCTCCCGCTATTATTGTTGCTGCTGCTGCTGCTGCTGCTGGTGCTGCTGCTGGTGCTGCTACCGTTGCTGCTGCTACTGCTGCTGCTTCTCCTCCTCCTCCTCCTCCTCCTCATCATCATCATCATCACCATCATCATCATCATCCTTCGGCAGCTTCCTTTTTCGCCTGCTCATCCTCCAGCTCATCCGCCTCCTCCCTTTCCAATTTACACAGCCCTCTCCTGATTGCGCATCACACGGTGGGGTCACCTGGGGGATCCAGGTCCGCTAGGACCCCTTTCGGCGGATTGGGCGCAAGGGGAAGGGATGGGTGGGAGAGGTAGAATGTTACAAATGACATGCCTCGTCTGGCTTGTCCCCCTCCCCTCTCCCTCCCCCCTCCCATGAAGAGGACGGGACAGGGGGGACGGGAAGAGAGAGGGAGGGTAAGGGTAACGGTTCTGCTCCAGACAGGTGTGGTTGTACGATCAGTTCAACGACCCAGGGTTCGCCAGCATTGCGAATCCCAGGCGCTGGCGCCACTCCGCGTCGGCCCTCACCAATAGAGCGACGTTATAGGTCGGATCTTGGTCAGGGTTGGATTGGTCCGACGTTGGAACAGACAGATGCTTGGGCACTTGGCCAGAACCCCAATTTACAGTGAGCTTGAGCATAGTTTTATACATGCTGGAGGTGCCTGCTAGCCCTTCATCGCTTCCAGCTGTCTTATCAGAGTGAGGGGGCCGAACGGTCATTCGTTGTCGCTGGGTGCGTGGCTGAAGTGGGGACCCGTGGTGAAGATTATGTTTGTTGCCTTGTTGCCGTTGTTGCTGCTGTTGTTGTTGCGTTTGTTGTTGGTGGTGTTGTTGTCGTTGTCGTTGTCGTTGTTGTTGTTGAACTCTCACTACTGAAGAACAATTATTGATCCCCCCTCCGGTGCACGTTTTATTTTTGTCAATTGAAATGCCCCTCCCAGCGCTCGCATCCGGTTTCTTATCAGAGAAAGTCTTCGTCCTCAAAATTGCGTTGTTGGCCCCCGAATTACAACAACCACAACAACAACGGCTCCCGCCTGATATTTCCTCACAATATATGGTCGAGGGTTTGGGCCCCCCCCCCCATTGCTAATGCCATCGCCGCCCCCCCCCCCCGCGCGATGGCCCCCCCCCTGTTGGCGTGGGCGTGGCGTGGAGCCCCCCCCCCCTGTGGATGTGGTGTGGGTGTGGTGTGTTGCTGTGAGTGTGTGTGGGGGGTGACGCCATGGTCCTCCTCCCCCCCTCCCTCCCCCCCTGTGGGTGCGGTGTGGGTGCGGCGTGTGGTTGGGATTGGCGTCATGTTGACAGCTCCGGTGCTCGACGTCGTCGCCGCCGCCGCTGGTGGTGCCGTCGACGTAGTCGTCGTTGTCGTCGTCGTCGTCGTTGTCGTTGTCGTCGTCGTCGTCGGTGTCGTCGTCGTCGTCGTCGTCGTCGTCGTCGTCGCCGTCGTCCTCCTCCTTCTCCTCCTCCTCCTCCTCTTCCTCCTCCTCCTCCTCCTCCTCCTCCTCCTCCTCCTCCTCCTCCTCCTCCTCCCCCCCATTCCATCTGGCGGGGGGGGGGCCGAGGACCCTAGGACCCATCCCATCTGGGGGGGGGGCCCGTGGGCCCTGAGCCCGCGATCATATATTCCCGAATCGCGTTCTCGCGCGGGACTTCCTCACCATTTATTCGATTCAGACGCCGCGCCCTCCACAATCAGGAGTCACGCTCTCGCTGTGGATTTCCCCACGATTGATTTGGGAATCGAGCTGTCGCTCAAGACTTCCTTGCGATTCATGCAGGACACACGCTTCAGCAACCCGCCTGCTCGACCTGGCAGCCTAGACCCTCCTTCCCGACCCGCCTGGTAGGGTCTACCCGCCCGATCTCCCCGTCTGGTTCTGCCGCGTGCTTTCTGCTCCTAGCACGTGCTCCATCCCCCTCCATCCACCATGTCCTTCCTTCCATCCGTCCTCTCTTTCCCTGCTTCAGGGGCTGCGCGAAATACAAGTTGCAGGTAAGAAAGATATACCCCCAAGAGGGTACGGTCGAGGACGAAGAGGGCGGGTATCGAGGGTTCGGGATATACGTGTTGAATCGCACGCGAGCAGATAAGAGCGAACTGTCTTAAAATGATTGTTGTTATTATTGTTGATCTCTGGAGATGGTTCCACGCGCTCTCGCCTCGACGCTGGCTACATCGTCTCTGAAAACGAGGCTCCCGCTCGAGCGTTGGCTTCAGCCGAAATGTGGGCCCTTGGAGGCCCAGCTAGGACAACAACGGCTCCCGCTCGACAACTTACCCCGAGACACCCTGGCCAGAGAGGCCTCCGAACTCAGGAACGGCGCTCTCGCTCGAGGTTTCGTCGCCATTAAATTAAGTTGGCGGGGGCCCAGCCACGACGACAAGGCCTCCCGCTCGATACTTCCTCACGATTTACTCCGAGAGCCCCTAGCCAAGAAGGCCCCCGAACTCAGGAACGGCGCTCTCGCTCGAGATTTTCCAGGAATTCAGGCAAGTTCGTGGAGGCCCGGACGCGGCGACAACGGCTCCCGTTCGATATTTCTCCATGGGTATTCCGAGAGCCCTTGGCCAGAGAGGCCCCCGAATTCAGGAATTGCGCTCTCGCTTGAGACATCTTCGCACTTCAGTCAGTAGCCGATAAGGAAGAGATTCCCCCCGAAAGGGGGTGCAATCGAAGACGAAGTGGGCGGGTATCGAGGGTTGGGGTATATGGAATGCAAGACACGCGTGCCAGTAAGAGCGAGCAGTCTTAAAATGCTTGTTGTTGTGGTTGTTGTTGCTATTGTTGCTGTTGTTGTGGCTGTTGTGTTTGGTGGTGGTGGTGTTGTTGTCGTTGTCGTTGTCGTTGTCGTTGTCGTTGTTGTTGTTGATGCTGTTGCTGTTGCTGTTGCTGTTGCTGTTGCTGTTGCTGCTGCTGTTGCTGTTGCTGTTGCTGTTGTTGTTGGTGTTGGTGTTGTTGTTGTCGTTGTCGTGGTCGTTGTTGTTGTTGGCTTATCATTGCTGAAGAACTTATTGTTGATCCCCCCTCCAGTGCACATTGTATTTTTCAATTGAAGTGCCCGTCCCGGCGCTTGCACCCTGTTGTTGTTGATGTTGACTGTTCATTCCCTACCTAGGCTCTGCCTAGAAGGGTTCTTACTCTCTTAGCTTAAAGGGGCCGGGCAGTGTTCCCCGCCCGGGGCGGTTCCCCTGGTCCCCTGGGAGCCAAGCAAAAGCAACAGCAAAGGTAAAAGCAAACGCGCGGTTCCCCCAGTTGCGCTCCCTGGGTGCCAAGCAAAAGCAAAAGCAAAGGCAAAAGTGAAGGCACAAACGAAGGCAAAGCAAAAGCATAGCATAGCATAGCATAGCATAGCGCAGCATAGCATAGCGCAGCATAGTATAGCATAGCCTAGCCTTGCCTAGCCCAGCATAGCATTGCGCAGCATAGCATAGCATAGCATAGCATTGCAGAGCAGAGCAGAGCAGAGCAGAGCATAGCATAGCGAACCACAGCATCCACTATTGCTGCTGCTGCTGCTGCTGCTGCTGCTGCTGTATATATATATACATATATATATATATATATATATATATGTGTACTTATATGTCGCGACAGGCGTTCCGTGCACGGTCCCCCAGTCCCCTGGGAGCTGCATGTTGCTTTCCTAGAGGCTCCAACTCCTAGGTAGGGTCGAACTGGGATAATTTTTAGAAAATAATGAGTGCTGATCTCCGGAAGCGGTTCCGGGCGCTCTCGCCTCGACGCCGGCTACATTTTCTCTGAAAACGAGTCTCCCGCTCGAGCGTTGGCTCAACCCTAAAAGTGCTCCCTTGGAGGCCCAGCTACGACAACAACAGCTCCCGCTCGACACCTCCTCACAATTTACCCCGAGACACCCTGGCCAGAGAGGCGCCCGAACTCAAGAACAGCGCTCTCGCTCGAGACTTCGTCGCAATTCAATCAAGGTGGCGGGGGCCCAGCCACGACGACAAGGGCTCCTGCTCGATACTCCTCACGATTTACTCCGAGAGCCCTTGGCCAGGAAGGCCGCCGAACTCAGGAACGGCGCTCGCGCTCGAGACGTCCTCATAATTCAGTCAAATTGGTGGAGGCCCACATGCGACGACAAGGGCTCCCGTTCGATACTTCCTCAAGATGTATTCGCAAAGGCCCTTGTCCACCGATGTCCTGACGCGCTCCCCACTGAGGCCCCCAACACACAACCCACTGAGGCCCAGAGTAAGCCCACAGGGTCCGTAGCATGCTGCCCGCAGGCCCCCCGGCACAGCCTACATAGGCGCCAACCGCGCCCACAGAGGCTCCCCCGCGCTGCCCACTTAGGCACCCGACACGCCCGACACAGCCCACAGAGGCTCCAGCCCACAGAGGCGCCAGGCGCGCCCAGAGAGGCCCCAGCGCGCTGTCCAATGAGACCCTCCGGCACAGCCAACAGAGGCCCAAACCCCCGCCACAAGCGTGCCCGCGGAGGCCCCAACGCGCTGCCCACTGAGGTCCCCCAACACAGCCCACAGAGGCCCCAAGAGCGCCCACTGAAGCCTCAGCCCACAGAGGCCCCAAGCGCGCCCGCAGAGGCCCCCGCGCGCTGCCCACCGAGGCCCTCCGGCACAGCCCACAGAGGCCCAAGCGCGCCCACAGAGGCCCCAGCCCGCAGAGGTCCCAAGCGCGCCCACAGAGGCTCCCGCGCGCTGCCCACTGAGGCTCCCGAACGCAGCCCACAGGCCCCGAACGCGCCCACGGAGACCCCCGCGCGCTGCCCACTGAGGCCCCGACTTCCTACAGAGGCCCCCGTACGCTGCCCACTGAAGCCCTCCGACAAAGGTCCCAGCGCGCCCACAGAGGCCCCAGCCCACAGAGGCCCAATCGCGCCCACAGAGGCCCCAGCCCACAGGCCCCAAGCGCGCCCACGGAATCTCCAGCGCGCTGCCTACTGAGGCCCCCCGATAACGCCCACAGAGGCCCCGCGCACGCCCACAGAGGCCCCAGCCCACAGAGGCCCCGAACGCGCCCACGGAGGCCCCCGCGCGCTGCCCACCGAGGCCTCCGACACAGCCCACAGAGGCACCAAGCGCGCCCACAGAGGCCCCGGCGCGCTGTCCACTGAGGCCCCCGACGCAGCCCACAGAGGCCCCAGCCCACAGAGGCCCCAAGCGCGCCCACAGAGGTCCCAGCGCGCTGCCCACCGAGGCCCCCCAACACAGCCCACAGAGGCCCCAAGCGCGCCCACAGAGGCCCCAGCCCGCAGAGGCCCCAAGCGCGCTCACAGAGGCCCTGGCGCGGCGCTGTCCACTGAGGCCCCCGACGCAGCCTACAGAGGCCCCGGCCCACAGAGGCCCCAAGCGCGCCAGCAAAGGCCCCAGAGCGCTGCCCACTGAGGCCCCCCGACAAAACCAGCAGAGGCCCCACGGGCGCCCACAGAGGCCCCAGCCCGCAGAGGCCCCGAGCGCGCCCGCAGAGGCCCCCGCGCGCTGCCCACTGAGGCTCCCCAGCGCAGCCCACAGAGGCCCCAAGCGCGCCCACAGAGGCCCCAGCCCGCAGAGGTCCCAGGAACGGCGCTCTCGCATGAGACTAGCAATTTTAATCAAGTTCGCGGATGCCCAGCCCCGACGACAAGGCTCCCGCTCGATATTTCCTCGCGATCTGGAAGGCCCTGGCCAGAGAGGTTCCCGAACTCAGGAACAGCGCTCTCGCTGTGGACATCCTCGCAACTCAGTCAAATTAGCGGAGACGCAGGCGCGATGACAAGGGCTCCCGCTCGATGCTTCCTCTCGATTTGCTCCGAGAGGCCCTCTCTCGTGGCCCATCCTTCTCTTCCCCGGCCCTTCCCCTGCTTTAAGGGGTTGCGCTAAATGTGCGCGGCAGGTAAGGAGGATATCCCCCCGAGGGGGTACGGTCGAAGACAAAGAGGGCGGGTGTCGAGGGTTTGGGATATACGTGTGACGTGGCACGCGATCAAATAAGAACAACATGTGTTAAAATGATTGTTGATGTTGCTTTTGTTCATGGTGTTGTTGCTGTTGTTGTTGGTGGTGTTGGTGGTGTTGTTGGTGGTGTTGTTGTTGAATTTTCATGTCTGCAAATAATTGTTGTTGATCCCCCTCACCCGTGCATACTGTTTGTTCTCAATCAAAGTGTGCCCCTGGACGCTCGCACCCTGTTTTTTGACAGGGAAATCTTGGTGCATAAACTGGGTCCCTGGCCCCCCGGATTACAAACAACAACAACAACAACAACAACAACAACGGCTCCCGCCTGAGACTTCCTCCAAATTTGCTCAGGACCCCCGCTCCAGAGACTTCCTGACAATTTAGTCAGGATCGGTGCTCCTGCCTGTGACCTCCTCGCAATTTAGTCAGGACCCCCGCTCCCATCTGAGACTTCTTCACAATTTACTCAGGAATGGCGCACCCGCTTGAGACTTCCTCGCAAGTGAATCAAGATTTCCTTGCAATTTAATCAATACCCCCGCTCCCGCCAGAGAACCCTTCACATTTGATTCAGGAATTGCGCTCTCGCCTGTGACTTCCGTGCAATGTATTCAGATATCGCGCTTTCGACGCTCAGGAAACACGCTGCGCCGAGGACGCCGTTAAAATTTACATAGTATTCGCGCTCTCGCCATACTCAGGCATCCCGCTTGAATGTCTCACACCCCCGACCCGCCCGTCAGGGGATCGCCCGCCCGTCGTGGGTTCCCGCCCGAGACTTCCTTCAGGAACGGCGCTTTCGCCTAGGATTTCCTCGAACGTTCACGTTCTTACCTTCCTGCTCCTCCTCCCTCTCCCTCCTCCCTCATCTCCTCCCTTCTCTCTCCTTCCTCTCTTCCCTCATCCTTCTGCCTCTTTGCCATATCCCCTCTCCCTCTTCACCCTCCTCCCTTCTCCCTCCCCTCTCCTGCCTCCTCCCTCCCTCTTTATTTCTCTCTCTATCCCCTCTCTCTCTTTCTCTACCTCTCTTATCTGTCTTTCTCTATATGTCTCTTTCTCTCTCGCTCTCTCTCTGTCTCTCTGCCTCTAATCAACCGCCCCCCTCTTCGCTCCTTCTCTCCTGGCGTTTTCCCTCTTCCTTCGTCCCTCCCCCTCCCTTCCTCACACTTTCCCTCGTTCTCCCCCTCCTGTTGTTGGAGGGCCCACACCAATTCCAATGGCGGACACATTTACGCCCACGAAGGATTGTCCGCCCGTTCAGGTTTGCCCACCTGTCTAAGCCCGCCGCCCCCCGCAAAGAGAAAAAATCCCCCCAAAGGGGGTGTGATCGAAGACAAAAAGGGCGGGTATCGAGGGTGCGGAGAACTCGTTGTCCATGACACGCGGGCAAGTAATAGCGAACAGTCTTAGAATGATTGTTGTTGTTGCTGCTGCTGTTGCTTTTGCTGTTGTTGCTGTTGCTGTTGCTGTTGCTGCTGTTGAACATTATTTATTCTAAAGAATAATTATTGTTGGGACCCCTGGTGCGCGGCCCCCTCGCCGCGCCTAGGCCGCAGCCACATTTTCATCATTTTCGTGAGGAAGTCTCAGGCAAAACGTGGGTGTCCGGATCCGGTTGTTTTGTTGTCCCCCGTTTTCCCTTGCAAAAAATAAGCTAAAGTGGACATTTCTTGTTCTAACATAACCAAACTTCAAGAATCCCTTGCAAAAAATAAGGTAAAGTGGACATTCGCGCGCGCAAGACGAAATCCTTCCAAAACCTTAGTGTTCGTAGCGATTTTAACATAAAAACATCAAAAAACCAATGGTTTTTCAAAAAAAAAATGTCAAAATTTCATCCCGCGCGCTCTTGCGGATTTGTAGGAAACCCAACACTTTTTAAACATTTCTGTCAAACGGGCTTTTGCGAGCAACTTTTTGCTTCGAACTTCTCCAACAACGGTTGCGCACCTGCCAGGGCCATCATCCCTGTCAAATAATACCATGCGGGACACATTCGTTTTTTCTTCGCGCGCGCACGCCGAAATCTTCAAAAACCATTGGGTTTCTTAGGAATTTTAGCACCGCGCAACATAAAATCATACGAATCGCACCGTAGGTCCTCGAAAAACATCTGTACGAATTTTCAAAATTTCTACCCGCGCGCGCTGTCCGAATCTTAAAAAACCAATGGTTTTTCACGTTACCACCAAAAACCAGTACAGGTGTCCAGTGTTGGAACAGGGGGAAAAGTCGTATACTAAGCTAGCGTCCAGAAAATGTTACCACAACAAGTCACTGTACCCATGCGCCAGTGTAGTAGCCACGGTCGTCCGCAGGCCACGAAGTGAAGTGTCCGAACGTCATAGGGCGGGAAGCTGGGTGTGGGTGGTGGCGAAGAGTCGTTTGGAAATGTGGTAGAGCTTGAACCGGCCCCCCCACAAAGTGGGGGTATCGCCCGCCTCCTATGAAAACCCTGGCACTGGTGAGAACGGAGTGTCCCCACGTGCTAGTAATTATTGTTGTTGTTGTTGTTGTTGTTGGTGTTGTTGTTGTTGGTGTTGTTGGTGGTGGTGTTGTTGTTGTTGATGCTGCTGCTGATGTTGTTGTTGTTGTTGGTGGTGTTGTTGTTGGTGTTGTTGCTGTTGTTGCTGTTGGTGTTGGTGTTGGTGTTGTTGTTGTTGCTGTTGTTGTTGGTGTTGTTGTTGTTGTTGCTGTTGCTGTTGCTGTTGCTGTTGCTGTTGTTGGCGTTGTTGGTGTTGTTGGTGTTGTTGTTGTTGCTGTTGCTGTTGCTGTTGCTGATGTTGCTGCTGCTGCTGTTGTTGTTGTCGTTGTTGTTGTTGTTGGTGTTGGTGTTGTTGTTGTTGTTGTTGTTGTTGTTGTTGTTGTTGTTGTTGTTGTTGTTGTTGTTGTTGTTGTTGTTGTTGTTGTTGTTGTTGTTGTTGTTTGTGTTTGTGTTTTTGTTTTTGTTTTTGTTTTTGTTTTTGTTGTTTGTTGTTTGTTGTTTGTTGTTTGTTGTCGTCGTCGTCGTCCCCCCCGCGACCCAGCCGACCCACCCGCGACCCACCCGCGACCCCTTCGCGACCCACCCCGCGACCCGCCCGCGACCCACCCGTGACCCACCCGCGACCCACCCGCGACCTGGCCCGCGTCCCACCCGCGATCCCTTCGCGACCCACCCCGCGACCCGCCCGCGACCCACCCACGACCCACCCGCGACCCTCCCGCGACCCACCCGCGACCCGGCCCGCGACCCACCCGCGACCCTCTCGCGACCCATCGCGACCGACCTGCGACCCACCCCGCGACGCACCAACATTGATGTAACCAGAAAATCGGCGCCTGCGGCGGACTCGTCGCATGATTGTCAGACTTTGGCGCCTGCGGCGGGCTTCTTCAGAGTCTCGCAGATTGCCGACGTCCCTGCCGCCCCCTCACTCTTATCCACAATTTCGGGGTGCTACGTATTGCATGCACTTGGGCGCCCCAGCCCCGCTTCGCTTGGTTCCCTCGTGTGGGCACTCGTGCGGGCACCGTCACTGTCATCGACTGTTCTAATGGCGACAATAGAAAACAGCTCCTCTGGGTCAGAGGTTCCCTGATTCCGATGCTAAAGACACGCCTCATTTAGATGAGGCAAGGATTAAGCAACCCCGCTGGCCTCGATCGAGGTTTACTAAGCTAAGCCTTTGGGTCGAGGAGGCCGGAACTGTCCGATACGAAGGAAAATGCGTTTCTTGGACAGGCGATGGTCCACACGATGCGCAATCTTCGAGAGAGCCGAATATAGTACATGTTTCGATAGTGGTTGTTGCCACCATGGCGTGTCCACATCTCGTGTGCCCCCTGTGCCATTGCTCACGCGTCGAAGCGGGTTATGAATGAGCAGGGGAGAGGGAAGAATATACGTCCAACGTAGGGTCGCCCTTGAATGTGTCAAGGCTGGCGGACTTGAGATACAAAACCCTGGGGTCGTTACCAGCATGAGGCGCGCAACGATTTCGCGTTCGTGCCGTGCCCGTCCAGTTTCATTCCACAGTCTTCCGTCTTCATCCATGTGCTCGCATCCCCCGCTGGTACATACGCGCAGCTGCCATGGCCGCTGTGTTACGGCGCAGTACGCCCTGAGACCCGACGTTGCGGAAAAACTATGTAGCACCCCGCAGTTGCGGATAACAGTGGGGGGCGCGAAAAATCACGACCAAAGCCTTCGACCCAACCTTTCTGCTGCATGTTTGCGAACTCGATCGATCTGTGATGGTCGCGAGGCCCGAAGACGGGCGAAACCGCCTGGTGTTAAAAAATGCAACGCGCAGATCTCAGGGTCCATCTTCGCCCACCAGGGTGCGCAGTGTTCTCGAGTTTGTTGCGCTGTCCTGCGCGCATCTCTCTCGCGGACCCTCCCGCCGGCCGCCTCGTACCGTCCCTCTGCGCCTCTGGCCCCGCTCTTGCGCCGCCTCTCTTGCAGCCGGCCGCCCCGTCTTCGTCCTTATCATCATCCTCTTCCTCTTCTTCCCTCTGTCACATGCCATTCGCCCTTGCTCCTCCTGAAATCCTGAGTTCCTGAAGGCAGGAAAGTCGTTCGACGTTGCCCTCCCCCCCAGGGCCGGTCGGCCACTGGGGGAGATGATCAAACTAGAAAGCCAGGTGATTCCATGGGCGGTCGCCCTTGGAATCTTTGGAAGGTGGGATACGCAGTAAGCAGTGAGGAAAGTAGAAGACCAGCAGAACGCGAGGGTGAAGGATGACAAGAAGGACCGAGTCATGACCTCAGAGGGGGAAGAGGGAAAGTGGAGAGGCTGAGCGACGATGCAATGCTGAGGTTGGCGGTGAGGAGGGCTGAGGGTGCGCAGAGGCGTGGCGGATGCGCGGGCGTGCGGCCTAGGCCACTCTGGCCCAGCGGGAATGCACAAGGGCTTCGCCTCCTGCCCTCAGGAAGCCCCTGGGCCAGCCCCCGGTCCCGCGAAGGGAACTCTCACCCGCTGAGGCAGGCGTAGAGTTCCCGAGCGTGGGACTGGTGGCTGCCTGGAAGGTTCCACCAGGCGTGTTGCGCCTTCCTGGCGGTAGCCTGGCGGTTGTACTACGTTTTTCCCCCCCCCTCCACCTTCGTACGGGCAGAACGAGTGCAAAGATAGGTTTAGGTGGTTTGGTTGAGGTGCGAATAGAAGGGTTAGCGATGAAGCGGCAAGACTGGCGATGGGATTAAAGATGGCAACGTTGTTGGAAGCGTTCTGTTGAGGTTGGGCAGAAGATTGATAAGGGTGATGCGGGTACGGACATGATGGCTGTGGCCGTTGCTCGCGGCGGTCTTGGCCAATGCCATGTCTGCCAGCGGCTGCGCTCCCTGTCCTTTCCCGCCCTAGACCGCCCCCCCCCGTCCCTCCGCTACACGAGTGGGCATGTGGAGGCTACGGTGGAAACACATGCCAAGAAACACCCTGCTTGCCTCCAGGGTGCCCTGGGCTTCTTGGGTGTGGATCGCTTTGCGATGGAAAGCGTGATTCTTCCACACGAGAAATAAATTGACATTCTCGGGTCCCAGGGTTGGGTTTCTTGTGGTCTAGCTCCTACTGTAGTGGTGCGAACAGTGGGTGGACCATAAGAACGAGAAGGGAGCCAGGGGCAGAGAAGGTTGGGTCGAAGTGCCTTTTCATGTCCGCTAGCATAGCTGGATATTTTGCATCGCGTGGCCGCCTTTGCCGTAGCCGCCGTGTGCACAAAAAGAGGTGGATGCAGCGGAGGATGGATTGGTGGGTGCGAACCAATTGTTGCTGCTGGTGGCTGTCCAGCGAGTGCGGCTGTTTGGTCAAGGGGTATTGCCGAAAATAGGTTGTGGGAAAGAACAACTGGTCGCTCTGGTAGGGTCTGCTGTCGGTCTGCTGGATCCAAACTGGTCAAAATTGGAGGTGATAGGGGGAGCACGGATGGGCCTTTGTTAGGCAGGACGCATATTGAGGCTTGGGCCTCGTAGGCTGCGGGTAGCCATGGGGAGTTCCTGGCCCACCAGAGGTAGTCATTTATGTTGGCTGGTAGACCTGTGCGAATGGGGGCCATGGTGTCCATGGTGGCTTCACGTCCGCTTCGCTGGCGGTGTCGTTGCTTGCCAGCTGTTGGGACGGCGTCGGGTTCTGACCAGTGTAGGTGGTCTTGGTGTTGTCGGCGGCCTTTTTCGTGGCGTAGTCCAGGTTATTGTACCCGAGGTACGTCTCGCCCTCATTCTCGTCGCGTATCGCTCCGTGCCGGATAGGAGCGATGGACATCTCATGTCGTAGATGTCGTTATCGGTAGTTTGATTATTGTCGTTCGTGATCATGATGCGGATTGGGGTTGGTTTCCGTTGGATAGGCTCGGTGACGGGCGCCAGCCAAATGTGTTTCTCGATCAGGTGTTGGATTCGGTGGCTGGTGTCTCTCGTGTCGGCGGAGAGCAGCAGATCCCAGCTCAGGGTTTTGGTGATGGGCAGTACGTCTCGGCCATGCGTGATGTGCCCTGTCGGTTTTGGGCCCGACCTTGTAGGCTCTGTGGTGTTGACACTCTGTGCTATGGTGTTCGGTTCTTCTGACGTGTGGTGATCGCCCGTGGCGTCCCCCTCGTCTGGGGTCATCTTTGTCGCCGCCGCCGTGAGTTGTCAGTTGCCCAGCGGTTTTGTCCTGTGGGGCAGCTCCTTGGGCCTCGAGCACGTCGTTGATATTCTCGATGGCGCGGCTGGCGACTCCTCTCTGGAAGGTAGAGATCGCGCATGGCGTTGGTGCGGACGTAGGGTTTTGACGTATTCCCAGCTTGATGTGCGTGAGGACGTCGAATCTCTCTCTCTCTCTCTCTGGCGACTATCTGTGGCGCCGGCAAGTCCTTGAGGTCGTCGACAATCAGGTAGGCGACCGTCGTGGCGAGCTGATTATGATCCCCCTCCTCCTCCTCCTCCTCGTTTTGTTCTCGAGAAACATAAAGCTGCATACGTAAACTCCCAGAGCTCCGACAAAGTATGTGTGTGCCAGTTGTTGTTCTTCTATACTCTACTCTCCGCAGACTCAATGTGTATCGTTCAAGGTAACGACCGTTAGTTCATGATTCTCGTCACGAGTACGTTCGTACGCACACAGTTTTCCTCCGACGCGCCAAAGACTCCAATCGGCGGTCAGCAAAGTAAGGCGGGACACGCGCGAACCGCATTACCTTTTTTTGAGGCTGCGCGGCAGGTTCACATACCGACAGAAGCCTGGAGTCGGCGCAAGCGAATAATGGCGAAGCAGGCAAGAAGCGAGCAAGCGGACAGACCCACGCTGCGCAGCAGCGGCGAAATTCTTCACGCTCCGCGTATCCCCACCAGATTCTTGCAGCGAATTGGGCTCGCCCGTAGGCCCAGACGATTTTTTTTGCCGCCTGCGCTTTCGCTGGCGGCCGCGACCCAAAAAAATGATCCCGGCAAAGCAACCTAACAGCGATGTGTAGGAGCATACCTGGAAGCATTCCCCTTAAGATTCAGATGAGAATCCAGTTGTAGAATTCTGTTGTTCTCGCATTCGTAGTCGCATTCGCGATGACAGTCGCAGTGGCAACGGCAGTCACAGTCACAGCCTCAGCCTCAGCCTGCCTCAGCCTCAGCCTGCCTCAGCCTCAGCCTGCCTCAGCCTCAGCCTCAGCCTGCTTCAGCCTCAGCCTCAGTCTGCCTTCAGCCTCGGCCAGCCTCAGCCCTCAGCCTCAGCCTGCATCAGCCTCAGCCTCAGCCTGCCTCAGCCTCAGCCTCAGCCTGCAGCCTCAGCAGCCTCAGCCTCAGTCTGCCTTCAGCCTCGGCCTCAGCCTCAGCCTCAGCCTCAGCCTGCCTCAGCCTCAGCATTCCTCAGCATTCAAAATGTGGCCCGGGAATGGAGTTCTGGGAACTCGAAGAACAAGAAGTGGCCTACAGTTGGCTCCGGGCATTCAAAATCATGCCCAGGAATGGAGTTCTGGGAACTCGAAGACCACGAAGCGGCTTACAGTTGGCTCCGGGCATCCAAAATGTGGCCCGGGAATGGAGTTCTGGGAACTCGAAGACCACGAAGTGGCCTACAGTTGGCTCCGGGCATCCAAAATGTGGCCCGGGAATGAGTTCTGGGAAGTCGAAGAGCACGAAGTGGCTTACAGTTGGCTCCGGGCATTCAAAATGTGGCACGGGAATGGAGTTCTGGGAGCGTCAAGAGCGATTTTGCGAGGATGTCCAAAGCGATTTCGGCTTCGGCGGCAGCCGCCCCGGGTCCCGCCCCGACCCCCCTGAGGAGTCATGATGCTCTCTTTTGACACCACTAGAAACCTATCAGTCTTCGCTGTTATGTAATATCCCCACCAGCCCAGAAGGTTCAGCGGGTCTCTTGCTACATTGCCTACCTTACGGTACCTGGACCTCGGATTCGGCAAATGTGGCTCTGTACGCTCGTTGGCCGACGTTCTCCTGCATGGACTTCGCTCTCGACAATTGTTACAGGTTGTACTGCCGTTTGCAGTTTTGTCGCTGATGAGGTTGCCCCTCTTCATTCTTGCGCCGACACGATGCTTTGGCATTTGTGTCGCCTACATCACGGATGTCGTCTGGGTGTGCCTGTCGGTCTAGTTCGTGTCTGACGGTGCTGTTTGCCTGACTCACACCGAGCGATCGACCTATGCGTGTTTATGGTCGCGCCGTCGCTCCATTTTGGCTGCGCTTACTTGCTGGTCGCCACCGGGATTTCCCACGCCACCGGGTTTGGAAGTTTCGGTTCTGGTTCCCTTCTGAGAGCCGCTCGCTCGCTTCGCTTGCCTTTTCTGTTCCTGCTGCCTAATCGCGGCCCGACTAGTGTTCGGACGGTGTTCGACCCGCCTCGCGAGCCTGTTGCCGAAAGTATCCCCACCGGTTTTCTCTTGTTGTCTCTCTTTTCCTCCCTCTCTCTCTCTCTCTCGTGTAAGTTAGGCTCCTGCTCGTTAGCTGTAGCTTTGGACGGCGCGCGGCCCTTCCGTTTGCGCTCGCGAACAAAAATG